ACCCTTTCACTTTGAACCTATTCATGTCCTTGTGTTTAAAGCGTGTCTCTATAAACAGCATGCCATTAGATCAAGGCTTTATAATTAAAGAAACAAAACACGTGTCCTTTCTGCCACTCCCTGCCTTTTGACTGGCACATTCAGTCCATTTACTTCAGTGTAATCAGTGGTCAGAAGGGATTGACTTCTATCATTGCTTTACGTGTGTGTGTTCATGTGTCTGTGGCTTTCTTTGTTGTCGGATTTTAGTAGTGCTTGTTTTTGTGTTTTTTTTGGTTTATTGCTGTGAACCTTTCTGTTTCTCTTCTTCTTTCCTCTTGTGTATGTACTAAAAAAAACAAACCAAACCATCTTCTTTTTAGTTACCATGAATATTATGGAGGGTGGAGGGAAGGGGGTGGCTGTTTGCAATAACCTGGCAATCAGTGACTGCCAGGTGGGGTGGGCGTGTCCCGCTCTGGTCGACTCTCCACACAGCTCTGCCTGGTTGCTGTCAGAGCCCCCCCAGGATGAGGGTGGCCAGTTGCCTTGCTCTGGAGAGGTCTGCCTTGCTCTGTGCTCGCTGTGGGCATGGCCTCCCCTCTCTGAACACAGAGGCCGTGGTCAGCAGTCCCCAGTCTCATCCAGAAGAGGGAGCAAAACAGACCTGGGTTGACCCAGCAGGAGTCAGTTGTAGTCAAAAGCTTGAGCTACGGCCAGAAGAGTAATTACTGTGGGCGCTGCTGCAGTGCACTGCCTCTTAATGCGGGAAAGAAATCCAGGGCCTGACGTTCTGAAGTCAGGGCACAGAGGCACAGATTCAGACCAATCAGAGGAAAGGCAGATTCACCTCTGTCAGTGCCATTCACATGGTTCTCTCCTCTTCTTATTTTGAAAATTTTAAATTCAAATAAGCTTCATGATTCAACTGGACAGTACATCAAGAGGCCTTTCAGGATGAATGACATCATTCCTATATTAAAGGTGAGGAAACTGAGACCCCAAGGAGGTAACCAGCTTCACCAGGACAGTAGATCTGTAACTTGGCAGGGCTAGGATTTGGGATCAGATTGATCTGGCTCCAAAGCCCTGGCTCTTTAGTGTACCATATTAGAATATTAAGCACCCTTAGAAATTACATTTTGTAACCAATTTCCATCACAGATAGAGAAACTTAATATTTCCCCCTTTCACTGCTTCCTTCTCTTAGCATGGATAACAGGGTGCTGACTGTAAGGACTACACTCTACCACAATTTCCCAATTTGTGGGGTACACGGCGGATCTGGTGTATCAGAGTGCACTGGGTCACGGGGGATGGGAACGGACCAGTTAAAGGCACTGGAAGTAATAGTCTCGTGTGAAACGCACGCCCTCCTCTTCAAATGACCAGCTACGTGATGAAGGATAGAGACCAGCTGGGCTGTACTTTCAGCGAGTGCAAAGCAAGAAGAAAAGACTTTAACCTGTGCCGGATGTGCAACAAGCCCATTGTAACGAAGAGCTACTGATGGTGGTTGGAGGGTTAGTTCACATGAGGGGATCCAAAAAGCAGAAGGCAACCCACTGCTGTTGGGTTGGTTCCAATTTACAGTGACTGGCAGGACAGAGTAGAACTGCCTCCGTAGGTTTCCGAGGCTGTCAATCTTCAGGAAGCAGATTGCTACCCCTTTGTCCTGTGGTGTGGCCGGCATGTTTGAACTGTTGACCCTTCAGTTATTAGCTGAATGCCTTAGCCCCTGCACCATTAGGGCTCCTGACGGGTGGAGAGGGGCTCTCACCCCTCTTTAGAAATGAATAAACTCCGATGAGCGCCACCCTGTGCAGGGCTTTCTTCTTTAATCTGGCCAAAGCTTGGAGTAGTCCTGTGCCTCTCAAGAACTGTAGTTGACAACCAACGTCTTCTCAGTCGTCTCTGCAGAACTTCTTGTTCCCTGCGTGTCTTCCCACCCACTTGCTGTTCCACCCTCCTGAACCTACTGAAGTTAGGGCTACTTCCTGAAGCAAACAACTCAACTTATGGGTCCCTGAGACCCTTTCAACAAGTCTTTGAGGTTAAAATTTTCTTAACAACACTAGGATTTAGTTGCCTTTTCCACTATACTGACCGTTACACTGATGGTTCTAAAAATACTGGTGTCAAGGTGTCAAGGCAGTCATACCAACACCAAAGCTGCCCTAGTGGTGGTTGTGTTATTTTCTCATGCACTTACAGTTAAACAAGGTCGTTTCCACTGAAGAATATCCCTTGATGAGGCAGTAAAAAGTGTTAATTTTACGGCACCTTGGCTCTTGCTGAGGTGTCTTTGAAGACTCTGGATAATGGACTGGGGTGTCTTCACAGAGCACCTGTGAGGCAGACCGTCATTGTCCGACTGGTGACGGGTGAGATTCAGAGATGGACAGGTGCCTTTTTCATAGCACATCCATGTTACTGGCAAATGAGGATTTTTCAGACTTAGATACCTGGCAGATATTTTCACAACAATGAGTGAAGTGAAAAATCTTGATAGTATTTGTGCCAATTTTGACCTCTCAAGTGAAAATTAGAGTTTTCAGAAAAAAACTTCTATCTACCACTGAGAGTTTGACAGTTTCCCAATATTGAGAGACCTTCCTGATGAAATTGATGATAATATTGATGAATGTTATTTTAAAATATCATATAGTGACGTGTCAACATTTGGAAAATCCATATAACTCAGTGAACCAGTATTTTCCAAACGACCAATGCATGGTGTTAACCAAATCACACACGGGCCAAAGATTCATTCAAAGTTCAAAAGAGACCTATAGATTTTCATGTCACCGTGTGAACCATTTCACTGAAGCTTCAAATCCCACATTCCAACTGCCTTCTGAGGGCTGAGTTTTGGTGGTGTAGCAATGAAGAACATTCCCCATGTTCTTGTCCTTTTTTCAACTATATATCCGGTAAATCTAAGTATTCTTCATATACTTCAACCCAAAGACTATCCCTAGTGATGGAACGCAGAAGCAGATATAAGAATCTGATCGTCTTTCTTTCAGTCAGTCAGTAAAAATGCTTGCTTGCAAACATGTTTGAGCACTAGCTTCTGGCTGTCCTATTTTGGAAAACAGTTACTTTTCGTTAAAAACCAAACATACAAGTGGGAAGAAAATGTTCTAATGGTGGTGACTGTACAACTCTTCTTGATGGAGTTGAAGTATTGAATGATATGATATAGGAATTAAAAGCCAATAAAACCGTTAAAAAAAAAAAAGAGACAGATCTGTTAAATTTAACACACAGATGAGCACTTCGGGGGGCCCAGAGAGTTTAACATGATGAAAGAGTGTGGGCAGAGAAAGGGTGGGTGATGATACACGGAACCGCTGCTGTAAAGAATGCATTGACATGCAGAGGTCTTGTTATTATTTTCTCATGCATTAGTAATTTTGAAATATTTTCTGTTTGAATTTAGTACATATAGATATAATCTACTATATATAGTAGATATACTAGATATGATCAATAGGTTTAAGCTAAAGTCTTACATCATTTTTAAGCATGTGAACGGGTCCTGGGATGAAAATGTTTGGGAACCAATGGGTAACACTCAAGACTTGGAAGCTGGGGTATTTAATAACACTTCCCCTGGTCAGGCTCCATCCTGGCTTTGCATCCTCCATCCTCACTTATTACCTCCTGTCTTCTGCCCACTCCATTCTGACTCAAAGCCACCCCAACACAGCATTGCACCAGGGGTCCTCACCAGTTCTCGAGCACCTGTCTGATCTTGCACTGACTTATGTACATATTCTGGACACCTCTGCCTCTGCCGTTGTACATACTGCTCGTCTACCTGGAACCAGGTGCCCATCTCCTTGATACACCTGTTCTGGGTGGTACCTGACGGCCTAGCTTCTTAGCACGAGGGCCTGCGGATGGATAGTCTCACAGAAACCTCACTCCACATGTCTTTATGGATAAGTCTCTGCACAGTAACTTCCTATACAATTGCCTTCAGGATCTGTTTGCCTGTCTTCTTTCATTAGACTCTCTGGAAGGAATCTCTGCCGTATTCTTACCCTCTTAGGGCTAAGTGCCCTGCCACCTTTATGGGACTTTTGTAGATTTTCTCTGACAATTTCATCACATCGAAGGGCCTTCACATTGCTGTGAAGATTAAACATGGTATTTCATGCCCCTCGTGAACCTGACACTTGGCGGCGTGGGGCCGGGCTTAAGAGGCAGGGCCTGCACTATGCTTGGAGAGACAGGGCTGACAGCAGAGGAGACACAAAAGGCAGCCAGTCCACTGGGACTCCGGAAGGGGCTGCGCTCTTGCAGGTGGCTGGAGCAAGCAGAGGCGGCTTCTGGGAGGAGGCAGAGATCTGGCCAGGGCCTTGCTAAATTGGGAGGATTTAGTTAGAGGTTAGCAAGGCAGAGATTTCTGGTCAGTGAATAAACACGAGCCGAGGCAGACTGTCAGAAATGAGCACAGCATGTCCATGGCCTGCAGAGACTGCTGGCCACAGTGAAGGCGAATGGGGCGAGGTGATAAGGCTGGAAGCTAGTCAGAGGAGTCTAGATTGGATGTGAGAGGAACGGGAACTCATGTCTTTGGGTGGGGGGTGACTTGGTGCTTTGGAAGGATAAGGTGGGTTATTGGTGAGAGGAGGAAGGTAGGTGGGTGCCTATTCACGATCGGGGGATGAGGTGGTCAAGCTCTGCATTGGACTGTCAGCAAGGCTTTCTGTAATGAAATACATGTCTGTAGGACAACCGTGTCAAAAATTAGATCTCAGTGCCTTCAAATGACAGTGTCTTACATGTAAGGGCCCGGGGATTAAGCCCACACAAGAATGTGGTAGTGAAATACTTGAGTCTTCTCAGACGTGGCTGATTTAGAGCGGAAGCAGGCTTGTCTTTTCGCCTGGTTATTGTCACAGACACTGTGAGCATGGACTGCCGTCTCAGGTTGCTATGAGACAGACTGCTATGATGGAGCCTGTGTGACACTGGGTTGTCTAGAGAAACAGATCCAGAGACACTCATATCTGCGTAAGAACTTTATATCGACAAGTTAGTTACATATCCAGAAAACATCCCAGCCCAGTCCAACTCAAGTCTGTACATCTGATGCCAGTCCCTGTGTCCCTCTTCAGACTCATGCAGTCACAAGCCATGATGCAGAATGCAAGAACATCACAGGCTGGCGGGTACAAAATCCCGTGGATCCAGGGGTGGTCACAAGGCTCTAGCAGCAATGAAGGCCCATCAGCAGGAGGGTGAAGGCAGAGAGAAAGGGAGGTTCCCAGGGCCTCCTTATGAGAAGGACACGCCACAAGGAGATACCATCTGGCTGTGACCTGAAGGACAGGTTGAATGCCACGCCTCCACTTGTATGTATCTTCAAGTTGACATGAAGTTATGTAGCTACCACAGGATCCAACCACCACAAACGGTCAGAACCACTGAGTAAGCTGTGTGTCGTTGGCGTCAAGCTACTTAACACCTCAGTGTCTTGGTTTTATCGTCTAGAAAATGAAGGCATCAACAGTATCTGCGATATAGACCTGCTGTGAGAATTTAATGAGTTCAGAATGTAAACTGCCTACACATCAGAAACCCTTGAAAAGATTAGTTTTTAAATTTATTCAGCAATGTCTAAATTACCCAGTGGACCAAAGCTTACAGAGTCATGGTGCTGATTCAGGGTCCTCAAAGTGCTCGCTGGAGACGTCGCAGGATGGGCCTCATTCAGAAACTGGGATAGAAAAACTCCAATTCAGTACTCATCAGATCTAAAAGGTAAAACCTGGAGATCCGAGTCATAATGTCCATCACGCCACTTACCAGTTTCAAACCTTCCCTGCCTCCCACTGCACAGAGGATGGAGCGGGTCCCCTCAGCAAGCACCGAGTCTCCTTGAGCAGCCCTCCTCCTTCCCACCGGGAGGGAGCGCCGGCAGCCCAGCACTGGGCACTGAGCTGAGAGTCCAGTGGACCGAACCCACCAGCTGCTCTGGAAGAAAAGATGCAGCAGTCAACGTCTGTAAAGTTGTAGAGCCTGAGAACCCCCGGGGGCAGTTCTACCCTGCCCGAGAGGCTGCTGTGAGTGGAACTGACTGCACAGCCCAACCACACTGTTGTTCTGCTGCTAGTTGCCGGCAAGCTGGGGCAGGCTCACAGCGAGCTGATGTACAACAGAGCGAAGCACTGCCCGGTTGGTTGCGCGCCGTCCTCACAATTACTCTTATGTGTGAACCCATGGGTGTAGCCACTGTGTCCACCCAGCTCGTCGAAGGTCTTCCTCTCTTTCACTGTCCTTCCACTTTACCCAGCGTGATGTCCTTCTCCGGGGACTGGTCTCTCCTGACCACATGTTCCAAGTGTTGTGAGGTGAGGTCTCACCACCCTTGGGTCTAGGGCGCACTCTGGCAGTACTTCTTCCAAGGCAGATCTGTGTGCTCTCTTGGCAGTCCACGGTGCTTTCAATACTCGTTGCCAGCACCATAGTTCACATGCATCGATTCTGCTTGTCTTCCTAACTCGGTGTCCAATTTTCACACGCAAGTAGCAACCTTGCTTCCCAACGCTTTACAGAGGTCTGTGCAACAGATGTACCCAATGCAGGGTGCTGTTTGCCCTCTTGACCGCTGCTTCCATGAGCACTGATTGAGGATCCAAGCACGACCAAATCGTTGACAACTTCAGTCTTTTCTCTGTTTATCATGTGCCTACTTGAGGATTCTGGCTTACTTTATATTGAGTGGTAATCCCCGTTGAAGTTGTAGTCCTTGATCGTCATCAACAAGTGCTTCACTTCCTCCTCACTTTCAGCAAAGCAAGGTTGTGTCTTCTGCATACTGCAGGTTGTTAGTAAGCCTTACTCTGCCTCTTCTCTCCAAAAGCTAAAGGGGGCGGGGGGAAAGAAAACACAAATAACTGGTTGATGTATTCTTCCAGCTGGATACTCTTCTCAGGAAGACTGTCTGGCTCCCATTCACACCCCCATCCCCAAACAGTTGTGGGTCTCCCCACTTGTCCTCCAACAATGGAGGATGCCCTATGTGTATACTTTAGCTACAGGACACCACCTCATAAACAGTCTCATGCTTTAATTCAAACTAAGCTTTTTTTCTTTTGCTTTAAAATCTCTTCTCGAACGTTCTAAAATGCTGCAGGAACATGTAGATCAGGACAAAGGCAAATAAATAGAAGTCAGGGAGCAGACGCCCTTCGGTGACAGACAAGCACGAATTGAAATGAAGGGATCAGCCATCCACTAGACACAGCATCTTTCCTCTGAGGACAGCCATTTGCACCTCTGCCCCTTCCCAATATGAAACACAAGAAGGTGGCATAAAATAAACCACTCCCCACAGCTCCTGGAGGGAAGCCCAGAGTTTCTCCAGCACCACCCAGTTTTCTGAATAAGGCAAGAGGTTTTGAAAGATGCTGGTTTCTACTGGTACCTACCTGCCTCCAAGCACTGGGCAAGGGAGCTCTTCACCGGGTCCCCGCAAACAGCCTATGGGCCTTCGAGCCCATGCCAGTCCAAGATGGGGCAGAGTGCGGCGAGGGGTGCTCTGGAGACCTGATTAAATTTAAAGGTGCGGTCACCTGGGGTCACTACCTGTTTCTCAGA